ACTGGAGAAATGGCTGGTGATACCCCACTCCTGAAATCAATTCCCGAATTTATGCAATGCTTTGTTAAATTCTACAACGGCTCACCAGATTTATTGCAACAATCTGAGCATGGTGCAGTTGCTCAAGATTCTGGTGTTGAACAACAAACTCTTCAACCATAGACTCGTCGCATTGCTGAATCTGGACATCAACTATCAACAGCATTATCTACAACATACTACAATACAGCGCGTATTATATGTTGGTTTACTCTGTTGTTTGTCTTGCGTTCAATCTCGTTCATTCAATAAACATCTTTCATTACCAAACAACAATGTATTATACTAATGGCTTGATCATATTACATCAATCACTACCATACATTGAATTGGTCAGATGGACTCATCAAAAACATATATTTGTGGTTGATCAACATTGTGACATTCAAAATACACTGGTGAAACAGCTGATCTTGTGTAACAGCAGCCAATACAACTAGGTTTACTAATCATGTTCAACATCACTGTTTATTTTAGACTTGCAGTCGATTCACAGCTATCACCAGTGTTTGTATCAGTGTCGATTCCAATATACTTGTAGCAATACGGACAATAGTACTGTTTCTTTCCATATCAAGCGTGCCGTATATTTCGATAAGCTTTTGAAGTTCCAGCACTCGGATTTTTACTCGAATAACCTTGTTTCTGTTACTTTGAATTCAATTTAAACACAGTACTGCCATTTACATTGTAATCAAGCATGTATTTGTATATACTATAGCCATATTGCAAGTCAATACAAGCAACATTGTTGGATTCAGTATCATGATTGATGTACATGTCGATCAATATGATACAACCGAATGTAAAGCAATGACATATGCACAACCAATGGCAATATGTGCTACACAAGTACCAATAGTCTGGCATTCATTTCATGATACTCTATGATATTTGACAATTAGCACTGTATATTTAGATGTGCAATATGGTATACTGCTGCAAGTATCATGATGATCTACGCTGATTAGCTTTTCAAACATCAACTTGACATTTTTCCAACCAACAACCATTCACTTGCGCATTAATTGGTCTTGGCAACTCTGTTATTTCTATATCATACGATTAGTATCTAAACTACAGCATAACATATGTAACAAATTCAGCCATGACATATCAAGTATTACATCACAATACATGTAGTCATTGACTTGAGATCTGCAGCTTTGTACAATACACCAATAATTGAAATGACGATCGCAACCATTTCATATCAACATGATCAATTGTAATACAACAACATAATGACATTCATTAGCAGCTGTCATGTCTACCACATGCATGGTACTGTTCATTACACATGAATATAAGCCAAATTTGCAGGTGAATCCATTGCACCATCGACCACTGCTTTTGCAACAGTCAAAAATGCAACATCATCTTGCAATGGTCCAATATGTCTGACTGGTCATTGAAATGGCTACTGTCATGACTGCAATATATTTTGATAGCCAAGATTGAATTGGTATTGACCATTTCAATTATACAGCTCATATTTGGAATCAAGCAATTGATGCATTACCAGTTTAAAATTTTGTCGAGATTGCTTGTAATTGCTTGTAATTCAAGACTCGTTTGCTCGATATTTTCATTTACCATATTATTTCATTGCCCATAATTAATGTTGGGCATTTATCCGATCTATAAACTGATGATAGCTGTAGTCAATTGACATGTCAGTTTACCATCTCCTGCTTTTGCTTATCAAATCATAAATCTAGCCATTGTGATGTTTAAATGAACAAAGCATATTGCAATTATTCCATTTACCACATGACCAAGTCTGTTGCTGCATCATGTGATTGAGTTGGTGTCGATACCTGAAACCATTCGGATTAAAAATATCATTTATAATACGACAAATTTGATGTATAAGCATGCATGCCATTAGTTCAAGTCATTCAGATTACTGATCATATATTCACTTTTTGAATACACAAAGCTGATTCATGCTCGACGAGTCTTGTCTAAACACGTACAAGGCATACATACAGTCAATGCAGACCGAACCTGTCTGTAGTGTGATAAACGGTTCATGTATATGCCAAGCGTCCAGATTTGACAACATGAAACAAGCTGATTGAAAAGTTGCATAGTAGTCTAGCACCATCTCAATCTGAAATCAAGTTGGTGTCAATATCCGCAAATTTACGGTGCACGCGAATTGCACATGATAGCATGGCTTAGATTCAAAATCAAATTTGTAGCTTGCAAATGGCTAGTGAATATCAACGGGTATTAGCCCTACGCTATATAGTGCATGTTTCTTGAACTCACATTCACGCAATTGTCAGAATCAAAATCAACGCAATAATGAACCCGCTTCACATGCATAGTTTGAATATGGATTTATAAACACATGCGCTTGTTATTCATCCATGTGTGTTTTTTTAATTAGCACATGAATATTTAGTAAACTCGACACTGTAAATGTGTTGTGATTTAAAATATAAAGCGACATGGAACGACATACAATCAGTTCCATCAATACATATCATTGTAACAGTTTGATCTTATACTTGCTACATATATACTATAGATATTGAAAATACTTTAAAATGTTCATTTCTACTGTTTCTCTCGTTCTTGCTCTTGCCACATCTGCAATTTTTGCTGCTCCAACCATTCCATCCACACAAGATGCCTCTGACAGTCTTCCATTCTACTTTCCCGAATCCACGTACCAACAGATTCCCTATGATCACTCATCCAGCCTCATGACTCCATCCAATACTGACTCTGTCAAAATTGGCACTGCGTATCTCTGTGACAAACTCAATCTCTCATCTAACGAGTTCAAGGTTTACAATAGCTTTACAGACAGTGCTGGTGTAACTCACGTATATGGTGCACATCTAGTTAATGGC